CAAAAAAAAAAAAAAAAAAAAAAAAAAAAAAAAAAAAAAAAACAGTTGAATGCATATATAGAATTTATGTGCACTGCATGTCAATGAGATAAATAATTTAAAAATACAGTGTTACTTAAAGTTCAGCTTTTTTTTTTTGTCTTTTTCCTGACTGGTAAGGGGATCGCAACCCTTGGCTTGGTGTCCCCTGCACCACGCTCAGCCAGTGAATACACCGGCCATCCCTGTATAGGATCCGAACCCGCGGCGGGAGCATCACTGCGCTTCCAGCGCTGCACTCTCCCGAGTGTGCCACGGGCTTGGCCCAAAGTTCAGCCTTTTAATTTTATATTTGCTTTTATATATGACAATATGTATGAATTCTATTAATAGGTATTTGGACATAGGCAAAAAATAATCACAATTTTTCTTATTTTGGGCAAAAGGATGTTTTAAATTGAAACAGCATATACTATTATATAGATTTTGTTAAATATATTTAGGCACTTCTTAAAATGATATTGGGTGAATTTAGGAATAAATTATTTTTCAGCAAACTATTCCCAAAAGAAATCAATGTTGAGCAGCATTCATCTGATTTTATTTTTGTATTAAAGCAAAAGGACACATACCTTGATTTTTATAAGACAGAGCCATGATTATTTGAAGATTATACCTTAAATTTGAGTATTGAAAAGACCTTGATTAAACTACTGTTCACTATTATACCAAATTTAAATGCACAACATCTAGAAATTACAAATGCTCTTGTACTACTATTAGAAGCAAACTAGCCATCTGCACAACTGAGGAGGTGCCTGCCATAAGGCATGGTTTCTAACTCTGGATATGGCTCATTAAGCACATGCTCGAATGCTAACACACTGTTTCACATGCTCTTTAACTGGCAGTGAAATAGATACTGAAATAGACATTGAAAAATAACCTTTTAGAAGTAAAACCAACATGTAAATGTTGAGGATTTGTTTGTTTTTCTCTTCTAAGTTCTGAGCAAAAGTTTCCACAGATTCCACATCTTATTTGCCCTGTAAAATGAAACTGATGTGAGGCAAGTATAAGATCTCAGGATTAGTTGTCACTTGTACAGCCCATGCCATTTGATCTTGTTCTTCCTAAGGTGACCAACCTTGATGCCTGAGAAAAAAGAAAAATATACAAACATTTTGAAATACAGGCCAATGAAATAGTGAATAGGAGATTCCTGGGGACTTTCTTTATCCAGTTTAATATTTTTATGTTCCTTTAAAATGTTTATAAAAATGCTCTGTAGAGAAGTTTGATACTGTACTCAGGAGACACAATAATAAAGTCTATTCTAATGTAATTCTTATAGAATAGGGCACTGCATATCTAATTTTCAAAACATTTTCTGAATTTCATAAATTCTGGAATCCTTGAGACTGATGTACACAACAATGTATTAAGTATTTAGAACTCATTTAAAGTATAAAACCAAACCACTTACTTGAAATCTAGATGTTCAATGAGCACATATCCATCTGTAGAAACAGAAATCACTGTTACTAATGTGAAAGGAAAAAACAGTGATGATTTGAAATTTTATGGGCAATAAATCAATAAACTTACATTTGCCTTTAGAATTGCGACATATCACTAGATTTTGTTCCGTAGTATCAATGACTTCCAGTTCTTCTCCAGGGGTTATTGGCAGGTCGAATATTCCATTTCTTGAATTATTTGAACACACCACTGCTGTGTTTATAACAATAATCTCTTTGTTATACTGAAATGAGAAATTACTAATCAGACTATGCTTGCATAGTTGTTTTCTTTTCATTATAACACAATTAATGGAAAATATAGTGACCTCAAAATAAACTCAAGATGCTAGATATTGATCAGTTAAATAATACCTAAGGGAATAGGAAATAATAGGAAGGTATATAATGAAAGAAAAGTCATTCAGGAAAATAATAGTACTTTGCCACAATCTTACATTTGTTTTGTATAATTATATTTTCAAAGAGATTTCATAACCATTATCTAATTTTACTAGAATGAGTCCTGACAGATGAGAAAGCTATAACATGGCTATAAATTAAGTACCATGAATGGTATATGCTAACTGTTCCAGTAATATAGTTATCTCAAAATACAGGAAAGAAGTTAAAAAACCAAACAAAAACATACTCTCTTTGTCTGTGTAGTGCCTTGGAGTTTATAATATTCTTACATACCTATCATTTCTATCTCTTTCTAACCTTCTCTAGGTGAGCCTATATATTCTAATACATAGTTATAGCACACGTACTTTAAAGTTGTGGATACTGGGTGGATGGGGGCAATTCCCGCTTTCCTTTTGTTGTCAGAGACAGGCATTTGTGAACAAACTGATGAGAAATTTAATTTCTGACCTTGGGCAAGTTTTTTTCTGTGTGATAAACTGGCTGGCCTATACATCTACACGTACATCACCTTTTAATGTATTGAAATATGTTGGCCAGAAATAAAAACAGCTCCAGAATATGTAGCTTAGACTACAGATGTCTACTTCACCAAATTAAGTTGACCAAATATTTCCCTTTGCTCAGGACAGTCTCTGTCTAAACTATTTAGTTACAAATACTTATCATTATGATTAAGAGTACCTCCTGCTTTGAGAAGTATCCTGTATTTGGATGATAAATTATAAGATCACCCTATACTAAATGGGATATGATCTAGAAAATAGATTTTTCTTTTGCTTAACAATGTAATAGCTTCCTAACTAGTTGTCTTACCCTTCCCAGGCCATTGTTCACTGTGAATCTTATGGTGATTTCTTAAAATACAAATCTGATTAGGTTACCCTTCTATTTATAAAGTTCTAAAAACTCTTCTTTGTTTTCAGGATTAGATCCACATTTCTTACCTTCACATTCAAGATCCTTTGAGTTCTGTCATTCCCCATCCCTCCATTTCTGCCCCCTTTATTGAATTCATCAAGCTATATGATAATCCTTGAATACACCATGACCTTTTATATTTCCACGCCACTGCTCATGCTTTTCCTCTGCTTGAAATACTCTTTCTCTTAACCACCTCACATGAAGGCTTTCATGACTGCCACGTATAATTTACGGTTTTAACTTCCCTTTGTTTATACTTCTATTAAATCATTTAATAAACATACTGTCTTATAAAATGAAAATGGAAGACAGTTTTATTCATCTTTGTACCCAACAAAGCCTGGCACAAATGCGGTACCCAATATTTTGTGATTTGAGCTGTATAAAAATTATTGAAATGACATAGTTTTTCTAATGGTATGTTAAGGAAACCCACCACAAGTAATAAGAAAGAATGGAACCATACACAATACAAGAAATGAATTTTCTGTCCCATGTGAGTCAAAAATCCAGTGAGAGATAAAGCACTAGAAGGATTAGTAGGGATCTTTTCAACAACTAATAATGGCTACACTGTTGTTTTTTGGCTAAATAACATCACAATTTGCAGTAGATAATTTCATATCACAGTTTCTAGATATAGTAACCCTAATTAGCTTTGGTCCAAATAGAAATTATAAGTGATTGTGAGGAATTTGTGTATATTCCTATTTTAATTTAGTCAAAAGAAAACATTTTTTTGAATGTTTACGAAGTGTTAGGTAGTCTTATTCAGCTCTTCACATGGATGTGAAGATAAGTAACTTTTTTCCTCTAAGAGCTCATAGTGTAATATGATGAACATGTAATTGTAATAATGTTAATGTTTTGTGATAAGCTAGAAGTTGCTCAGGTATATAGGTAAATAGGAAAAGAGTAATTTCTTTAATCAGGAGGTTTGGGCAAGTCTTCCTGGAGAAGAGAAGATGCTTCAACTGGTGCTCGATAAATGAACAAGAGCTAGTGAGATAGAGAAAAATAGCAAGTGTGTACCAGATAGAGCAGACCAAATGAATGCCTAGAGGAATGAAACAGTAAGACAAAGACAGAGATGGAGGTTTATTCAAGGGACAGAACCATGAGCAGTTTGTTGCCAAAGCAGAAAGTGCACAGCAAAGAGTAGCAGAAGATAAAAGCAGCAATATGAGCAAAAGTCATGACATGAAGAGTTTTATATGCCATGTTAAGAAGTCTAAACTTGATCCATTTGGCAATAAGAATTTTTGAAAGATTTTAGGCAGAGTATTGACAGACAAATTTTATGAGTAGGATGCACAGTATGTCTCCCAATCCAGTGTCAAGTACATGGAAGATATTCAATATATGTTTCTTAAATTAATACATTATATGAAATCAGTGAGGATCATTTGAACTTTAGAATAATGGAAAAATGTTCTGTGGACTTTTAATAACAGAATAAGAAGTCAAAGTGCTTCAGATGCTGCTTGTTAATTCATTCAGTTATTATTCATTTGTTCATTTAGTCATACATTCATTTACAGAACGCTATGTCCCCAGTTTTTTTTTGGGGGGGGGGGAACTGGGGAGCAAATTTGATTGAGAAAGAGTCTCTCCTCCCAAAGGAACTCAAGAGTTTAGTTCAGGATACATATATACACACACACACCCCCCATAATTCAATTAATTGATCAGTGTTATAAAAGATGTGTATATAATTGATACAAAAAGTGGGCTGAGGGAGTAACTTTACCTAAAGGAGTTAGGGAACAGTGTGTGACATTTAAATAGAATCTTAAAGAACACACATATATAGAGTCTTAAAGAACACACGCGTTTTTCCAGGCAGAGGAAAGAGCATGTACAAAGACGTGACAATATGGAAATGCATCAGAAAAAAAATCAGAATAACAGCTTTTAGTCAAAGATCATATCCTTATCTCAGAGAGGCAGAGCCACAGCACACTTATAGGATCTTTTAAAATGGAAATTATTAGCTGTTAATATTACTAATTTTTGCCTTCAGGGGAAAACATACCTCAAATCTTTTTCTGAAAAGTTTTTCTTCTCTTTGCATTCTGTTCTTTTCTAAGTTTTGCATCTTGGTTCTGAAGAAATTTCTAGGAGATGAACTGGCAAGAAATATACGGGTAGGGTTAAATGTACTATATAAAACTCTTAAGCTTCCAAGTCTACTTCAGGATAAATTCAGGTATAATTTTGTGTGTGTATAATTTTATATAAAAATCATTAGATACATAACCATATATCTGTATGTCTGTGTATATACACACACACCCCCCTATGTATGTATGTATATACATACAAGCATACACAGACCTCTCTGTTTTAAAAAAAAGAAATAAGGTATTTATAAATCTTCCCAATCACCTTCAATGGAAACCAGTAAGAATAAGTAAGCAGCTTACGTTTTATGGTTTTCTAAGTATTCTAACCTAATCGGGGGGGATCACAAATCGATGTGGCTCAATCAAAGAACTATCTTGTTTGCTGAGTAATTTGGGATATGGATGGGATTAAGAAAATAAAGCAAGATGCTACAAAACGTGCAAGAATTTCAACACATAAAAGTGAATAACCCGGGCCAGCCCAGTGGTGCACTTGGTAGAGTGCGGCGGTGCTCCTGCCCAGGGTTTGGATCCCATATAGAGACCGGTCTGCTCACTGGTTGAGCACGGTGCGGGCGCGACGCCGAGGGTTGCGATCCCGTTACCGGTCACGAAAAAAGACAAAAAGGAAAAAAAAAAAAAAGTGAATAACCCTACAACAGAAACTGATTACACTCTTAACTCCTTCTTTTACTCTCTCCCTCTCTTCATGTGGAGTTTGTTTCTGGTTTTTAGCAGTTTAACATTGACAGAGGGAAAAAAGTCAACCAAGCCCTGTCAGTTTTATTCAGAAGTGTCTCTTCCCAAGATTACAGCTCCTGCCGTGTTTCAGACTGTCACCACTTCTTGCCTGAAATACCATCTTCCTCTTGCCTCTCCTTCCTAGGATTCATCTACATATCTGCCTCCAGAGTTGTCTTTCTAAAATTTAATTGATCATGTCATTCTCTTGCTTAAATCCTCCTACTGTCTCTCTACTGCCTATAGCATAAAGTCTAAATTTGTTAGCATGATACAGAGGGCATTTTATAATCTGGCTCCAATCTGCCTTTCCAGCTTTATCAGCTGCTCTTTTCCCTACACATATGGTGTCTACTTGGGTCATCATAGAAAGTGGGCTATCATACCCTTCCCTAACTTCTCTTAAAACTTGCCATTATCTTTGATTAATAAAGGCATAACAAAAGGGTTGAATTGATAAGCTTTTACTCATAATAAAAGCATTTCTTACTTATTGGTCAAGTGAGTAATGGTTGAAACCATTCAAAAAGAATCAAAGAGCACATAAAAATTGATACATCAATCTACAGGAATAATTATAAGTGATAGTCTCGCTATCACATTTTTTAAAAAATTTTATTTTATCTTGTCAATATACAATGTGGTTGATTATTGTGGCCCATTACCAAAACCTCCCTCCCTCCTTCCTCTCCCCCCTCCCTCCCAACAACCTCATATCTGTTCACTTGTCATATCAATTTCAAGGAATTGTAATTGTTGTGTCTTCTCCACCCCTCCCCCCAGTTTATTTGTATATTTATACCTGTTCTCCAATGTTCATTGCAGCACTATTTACAGTAGCTAAGATTTAGAACCAGCCCAAATGTCCCTCATGAGATGAGTGGATATGGAAAATGTGGTATATCTACACAATGGAATACTACTGTGCTATAAAAAAGAATGAAATACTGCCATTTGCAATGATATGGGTGGACCTAGAGAGGATTATATTAAGTGAAACGAGTCAGGCACAGAAAGAGAAATATCACAGGTTCTCACTTATTTGTGGGAGCTAAAAATAACTCACATTTTAAAATTTACTCAGTTGAGAATAAAAGTATACTATTATATCAATTTTTTGTAAGAAATAAAAAGGAACTAGAAAATTGTTTCCTAGCAAGACTTACTCATAGTCATCAACATACTAAAAGGAGGGGAGTAAAAAGTTTTACTGACATTTCCCCCTTGGAATTCTGTTTTGTTATGCTATGCAAGCATATATTTTAAAAAAGTTTAAGGTAGAAAGTTGCTTTTCTAGTCTGTGAATACATCTTTCCAACTAGGGAGAAATAAATTACTTGAAGTCTATAAACTTAAAGGAAGGGCCGTCCTATGCTATCCCCTGAGTTTGGGTTTGATATAGACTATCTGATTTCTTTTGGGATACCCCAGGAGGACTTTTCTAGATAGGTTTCCCAGAGCAGACAGGCCACATTGTGTTCATAGCTCAGTGACTATTAGATGAGGATTTCTTCAAGACATTTGTTAAAGTACCTCAAATCCTGCCCCATGTCCTAGCAATTGAGAAGACTGGAGTACAGGGCACTGAGTAACTATCTGAGTCATTTTAAAAAAAAAATCACCTCTCCCAACAGCCAACTGGGAACTTGAATTACATGAATGAAGGTTAGACCTTGAGTCAATAAAACATTCTTTTCCTAAAACAAAATTGTAACACTAATTGTAGTAATAACTAGAATTATATTTAGGGAAATCAGTCTTATGATACTTAGTTTTTCTTTTCTCAAAGTTTTATTTAAGTTATACTTGATGTTTTACTTGAGTTCTTCCTTATGGGGGAAAAATTCTTATAGCCTATAGAAGATTAGAGGTTTTCCATTGTTTGATAAGGGCTGATTTGAAATCTTTCCTCACTCCCCATCCACCAAGAGTAGGGGGGATGATAATGATAAACGTGCATGGTACTCAACATTTTCATATTGTCTTTTTTAATCCTCTCAACTGTACTTTGATGTGGGTATTATTTTCATTTTTTAGATGAGGAGCCTGAGAGTCAAATTTAGTGACTTGTCTAAGGTCGCACAGTTAGAAAGAGGTACAGATTGCAACAGAAAGCTGTCATGTAAATGCGTCTGTGTTCCTACCTTTCTGAGTCTTCAGCACCTTTTTTCTCTTTTGTTTCCCTTAGTATCAAAAACTTGGGCTTCCTGATTTTCAGTTTATGTTTATCCCTGAGGAGAAAAATATTTTGAGCAAGTAAATTAAGACTGAACTATTAAAATTTATGGAACCATCAACATTTTCTGGGCAATGATGTTTTACAAACATATTTAAAAGTCATCTAGAAATAGAATTTGATAATTTATGGCAAGACCATATAGTAAATATTTTAGGCTTTGTAGGCCATACTGTCTCTGACAACTATTCAACTTTACTGTTGTGACTTTTATTTACAAAGCAAGTGGCAGGCCATATTTGGCCCACAGACCATAGTTTGCTGTGGTGATCCAAATTTGAAACCAGAAGCAAGAGATCAACCTGCTTATAATCACACTTCATCTTCTTTCTGAGCCTGCGTTTCTTTTCCTCTAAAATGTGAATAATAATAATAAAAAACTTCGCCATGAGACAAGACTAGGCCAACTAATGTTTAGCCTTAGTGGATTTGGGTACAGGACAATGCATGGAAGGGAGAAGGTATTATAGGAGTAAGTAATACTTTTTGAGCACCTATGTGTCAGGTCTTATGCTAGGCATTTTACATATGTTAACTTATTTGGTTTTCACAGTAAGTACTGCAACAATACTTTAGTCATTCATAAAATCTTACAAAGAAGGAAATGGATGATCAGAAATTTAGATACCATGGTCACAGAAATAGTGGCTTTAAATGCAGGTGTGTCTGGCTCCAAAGTCTATGGTCTTTGACCACACCAGCAGCTTCAAAATGTTTCTTCCCTGATATAACAAAATTACCAATGTGTCCATCGATAATGAGCAAGAAATGATACAACTATCCTCTGTCAACCATCTGTATGTCTATGGTGTCTGCACACCTGAACAATAACTCTTCACTGGGTATGTTATAAACACAAGGATATTTGCAAGAGGAATTTTTGAGATTTTCAGAGACATTAGGTCACTTTTCCCTTCAGATTATCGTCACAAATGTCCAACAGAATGTCAAGGTCTCAACACTTGACCAGCATTGAAGATGCAGCTTAGGGAAGGCTTTTAAGAAGCCCTTCAGGACTTGTCTAGGGATCTCTGATCCATTTCTTTTTTCAATGTCAATTGCCTTTGGAGTCCATAACAAGGAGCTCAGCAATTCTTTTCTAACTGTTCCGTGTTCACTTGTTTTATCACTCCACTTTAAGTTACCAGATGGTGGGATCTAGACATATATTCTAAATGTATCCACAGCAAGGTCAGCACAATGCTAGGTGTATAGCAAGTGTTAAGTATGAACTTGTGCATGAACTTGTTTGGAAGGAGCTACAGCTATGTGGGCAGGGAATAGGCAAGGCACATGTCTGCTTAAAAGTTTATTTTCTTTACTGATTGTAAGGCAGTATATCCTTCATGAGAAAGACTCAACAAATTAGGTATAGAAGGAAAGTATCTCAACACAATAAAAGCCATATATGACAAACCCACTGCCAGTATTGTACTGAATGGAGTAAACCTGAAAGCTTTTCCTTTAAGAACAGGAACAAGATGGGGATGCCCACTCTCACCACTCCTATTTAACAGAGTATTGGAAGTACTAGCCAGATCAATCAGACAAGAGAAAGAAATAAAGAGCATCTGAATTAGAAAAGATGAAGTTAAATTGTCCTTGTTTGCAGATGACATGATCCTGTATATGGAAAAACCCAGACTCAACCAAAAAACTCTTAGAGCTGATAAATGAAGTCAGTAAAGATGCAGGATATAAAATCAATATATAAAAATCAGTAGCATTTTTATATTGAGTACTCAAAAAACTGGAAGAAGTAGAAAAGAGACAAGCATAATCTAACCTCTCAAAGACATCCAAGTTTCCTTCTAAACATTTTTCCAAACACTTTAAAAAACTGAATCAAGACCATTCTGTACGTACAATTTTGCAGTCTGCTGTCTTTCTATTATCATTATAGTGTAAGCTTTTCTCCACAATTCATTAGAAAATATTCACTATATATTTAAATGATCATGTTGAGTAGTATATTATCATATATTAGAAAATTACTGCACATTCGGACAATTTGGACTGTTTTAAACATCTCCTTTTTATGAATAACCGTGAGATAGACATTTCTGTGCATAAGTTTTTTTCTTTGTTTTTTAAATTGGAGCTAATTGCTTAATGTGGAATTATTAAGAAAAGGAAATTGCCACTTTTGATATATATAGCCAAATTATCCTAGAAACTAGCCCAATACCTATCACCAAGAGAATGGACAAATGAATTGTGGTATATGCATACAATGGAATATTATAGAACATTAAAAATGAAAAAATTACAATGTCAAGAAAAGGATGGGTTTTGAGTTTTTAAAAGTTGCAGAATTCTGTATACAGCATGATACCATTCTTATGTTTAAATTCCAAATGAGACAATATTTTTTTCATTCATTTTTGATGAAATTATTTTTGTTCTGTACAAGGAAACAAAAAACAAAATTTAGGTGAGTGGTGTCCTTGGGGGAAAAGCAATGAGACAGGCTAAGGGATGCATGTAAGGTAGAGAGGCCAAGGTACTGGTTATGTTCCAGTTCTTAAGCTGAGTTATGGGTTCAGGGCAATTTGTTTTACTGTGTTTTACAATTTACACATATTTCATGTTTTCTTTTGATTTCTAAAAATATAATTTATTTTTTAAGAAAAAGAATTCATTCTTTAACTCGATATTCTATGACCCTCCTCTGTCTCATGCCAAATTATATCTCTTGCTCTTAACACTGCTTTCCCAATCATTGGCCTTATGGTCCAATGAAAGTTCCCAAACACATGTGTTTTCCATTTACACAATTGTCCCCTGCCCTTCTCTCCTCTCCTCTCGCTCTCAAGTCTCCACCTGTCAAAACGTTACCTATTGTCCTTTCTGCTCCACAGTTTGACACAGAGACTTTTCTGATCCCCTAAGTGACAGTAATGGCTATCTATTCTTAGCTTCCAGGTTATTTTGCACATTTTGATAGCAGGTTGTTCTGTGTTAATTAATTTAACAAGCTGTTTTGGTATCATGCCACATGATACAGATCTGAAAGCCACAGTCCCTACCTCAAGGAGTTCCCAGTCTATAGGAGAAGATAGTCAAGAAAAGAGACCATTACAATTGTGAGAAAAACGTTCTGACAAAAAAAGAAGTACCTAACTCAAATAGTTAATGTCAGAGAGGGCTTCCTGGGAAAAGTAAAATTTGAATTCAGTTTTAAATAATGAGAGATAAAATAGTTAACCAGGCAAAAAGTATGGCCAATTGTGTTACCAGTAGAACCATTCTTTTGTTCTTAAATTCTTACCTTCTTGGAGAGGAACTGTCTACTCTAAATGAGTATCAACTGGTCCTAACACACGCACACCCTATATCCATTCTCTTTCAAAATATCCTGTTTCTAAGCAACCACATAACAATGTGTAATTATAGATTTATTTTTTCATTCACTTATTTGTCTTCTAATCAGGCAGCCATAGGAATTGAATCTCTTTTGTTCACTGCTTTATACCTAACACCTAGCGTAGGGCCTGGCACATAGTACATGTATAATAAATATTTGTTATGAAGGTTTGGAAATGCTGGACAGCCCATCAAGTTCAAGGAACTCCAAGCAGTACAGTATGGATGGAACACAGGAATGGTGGGTGAGTGGGAAGTGCAGGGGAGGCTGAGAGATTGCCAGGGGCTGGGTCATCAATGAACTGTGTGTCTTCCTAAGCAGTTTGGACTTCATTGTGAGACAAATATATCACCACTAAACAGTTTTAAGCTGATGGGTGGTGATATGACCACTTTGTGACATTTTATGACATGACTACATTTGCACTTTAGAAAGTTTGGAGAATAAACTGAAATGGAGGTTCAAGGGCCCTTCAGGGAGTTGTTGCAGTAATCCAGTTGAGAAACAATGAGGGCCCAAATTGTACCTGTACAGTGGGGATGGAGACGTGGGAATGGTTTGAGAGTTATTGGAAAGAGCAGTCGGGAGGGCAGGGCATGAGAGGAGGAGTCAAGGATAATGCCCAGGGTTTCGGTTTGGCAACTATGTGTTTACGGAAAGAATCACCAACGTAGAAATTAGAAAAAAGGAATCAGATTTGGATGTGGAGGGTTGACATCATGCATTATTATGGATATTCTGAGTTTCAGACAGAGTTATCTAGCAGGCTTATTAGAGCTCCGCAGAGAAATCTGACCTCTAAATGTGAATTTCAATATTTCACCATAATGTTTATAATTAAAGCCCTGGAAGTGGATGAGATGATTCAAGAAAAGCATATAAAGAAAGAATAGAAGAGAACTGATATAGGAAATATGAGGAACATGTAATATTTAAGACATGAGTAGTAGAATTAGAGTTCACACACACAAAAATGAAAAAAAAAAAACACTTAGGAGCAGGCAAAGATGAGGAATAAGAAATAATAACAACATGGAAACCTAGGGAAAAGTTAGTATTTTTTCTTTTGGAGGATGGCATAGTCAACAGTTTAGGATATTACAGAGGAACCAAGTAAGATAAAGACTTAAAAGTATCCACACGGCTTAACAAAAGAGTTACTAGTGAACTTACCAAAATAAGTTTACTGGTATGATAGGAACAGAAGCCTAATTGTAGTGAGCAAGGAAAGATGAATAGAAGATAGCAGAAGTGACCTTTAAGCCATTTGGTTGAGAGGAAAAGGACAGATAACAGGTAGTTAGAGATGGGGCATTGAGTTTACAGGTGGTTTCTTTTTTGATAGATTATAGTTATTTAGTCCTTGAAAACAGAGATTCTGTCGAATAGTCCTTGCCACCCTCCATGTTGCCTCGTACATAGGAGATTATTAAACAAATGTGCTAAAATGAGTTTCAAGTCTTTGGATTCAAAGATAAGAATCAAAAACAGAATCCAAAAAGTGCAAATCAAAACCACCATGAGATACCACCTCACAACTATTAGAATAGCTATTATCAAAAAGACAAGAGATAAAAAATGTTGGCTAGGGTGTAGAGAAAAGGGAACCCTTGTACACAGTTGGTGGGAATGTAGATTGGTGCAGCCATTATGAAACACAGTATGGAGGTTCCTGAAGAAATTAAAGACAGAACCACCATATGACCCAGCAGTCCCTCTCCTGGGTCATATGAAATCACCACTTTGTAGAGACACTTGCATTCCCATGTTCATTATTCACAATAGCCAAGATATGGAAACAACCTAGGTGTCCATCAGTGGATGAATGGATGTAGAAACCGTGGTGTATGTGTGTGTGTGTAATGGAATGTTTTTCAACCTTAAAAAATGAAGAGATACAGCCATTTGCCACAGCATGGTTGGACTTGGAGGACATTACATAAGGAAAATAAGCTAGATTCAGAAATAAAAAATATTGCATGATCTCACTTATATTTGGAATCTTTTAAAAAGTCGAATATATAGAGATGGAGAATAAAACTGTGGTTACCAGGGTCAGGGGGTGTGTGGGGGTGGGTGGGGG